CCTGCAAAAAGTATGACAGTGGTCACATTGACATATTTCGTGAGAAGCCTATGCGGTTCCGTGGCCTATTAAAGGCATAAAATGTGTGTTATTAATACATTATGAATACCTAAGATTTGCCCATAGTTTTATATGTTTAGCTAGCTGTAAGTATTAGAATCTGTATTTTCAAATTTAACTTAGCAGTGAAACTCCTAGGCTTTTGTAAGACTTATTTATTGTACTTGTATTATCATATAAGCGGTATGTTTTCCTAATAAAGAAAAAAAACTCTATGCATATGCTAATGCATTAAAGAGATTTTACTAAGATGTTATATCCGTCGTCTGGTACCCATAACAAACATTGCTTAGTTTGGTACAGATATTTATTTATAGCAATTATCATTCGACGCCTTCTGGGCATAATATTCGATAAAGGTATAACGTGGTTCCAATTTCCAGTGGTGCAGATATGGACGAGTCGGGGCACTATGATGCTGGAAGCCCACGGTCAGAAGTTCACCAGGGACCGGACCAAGGGCGCCCGGATTCGTTGGCGCTGCTCCCGCCGAAGAAACACCAACTGCACCGCCGTCATCACCACCCTCGACGGCGCCGTCACCAGGACCAACTTCAAGCATAACCATGAGTGATTGGTGAACTTTAGCGGCCGAAGCTACATTTCTATTTCATCATTTTTCACAACGTGGTTCATCACAGTTTTGTAAGCTTGTACCGTCAATAAAGCCAAAGGATGGCAAGCACAATCCAGGCATTTTCAAGGCGAGGGTGAATAGGCACTTAGTTACAGGGCAGGTAATTTAGGATTGCGGTCAAATACCTGCCTTGTTTTGCATTAAAAAAAAGAAAGCGAATACGTAATTGAAGGAGAAAATAGCATTCTCTTAATCTCAATCGATATTTTAAGATTAGAGAATATTGAAAATTCATACTAAAGTGTCATTCTAGTAGGTAAATGGTCGTCAACGAAAAAGAAGCGTTGACGGGACGATCATTTAATTTGAGAGAATCACGGAATATATTTAATTAGTTTAACTAGCATTTTTAATTATGGACCCTTCTTGTGGCGATTGATTGATTGATTAAGACAGTCCATAAAAATTATAATGTACATAGGTATTATCACAATTTTTGATTAAAAATATGGTGATCTCAGCCGAAATGCGTAATTCTTTACTGAACATCGTCGTTCATATTGCAATTTGTTCTATGTCAAAAATTGAGAATGTTACTAGGTATGCAAAATCACTTGAAACCTATGTTACAGTTAGGCTTTTACATTTACAAATACATTAGTTTTTATTTCATTCAAAAATACCCAGTAGTTATGATTTTATAGGCATTCAAAGTTCCCTTAAATATCGAGTCCCGCCGACGGTCACGTGACCCCGCGTGACGTACATTCACAGTGTCCGCTCACTAGAAAACGTATATAAACATAGTTAAATACATTTTTTTTGTAAATATAAACTTATTATACATATTAAAACCCAGACCTATCACAGAAATTAAAATTGAACCAAACCCGAACTTGATGCGATTGTATCGTTTTATTGCGAATTACCTTCCAGCTCCATCATTAGACCCTGATTACTATATAGAATTAAAGTACTCATCAATACAAAACGAACGAGCCCAAACTCGATGGATTTAAGTCGTTTTATTATAGAGTTCCTATGGCCACCTTCCAGATCCATCATCAGATCAGCTCCATGTCATCATAATATTGCATGGTCATCCAAATCACATGTGTTTGCGAAATTAGAGCTTAATCGGTTGCCTGGAAGTGGGTCTTAATTCAGCTTGCAAGATTCCACCCATACAAATATGAGCCAGTCACTGTAATATGACGTCACGCGCTTAAAATGGCGGGCCGGCTGCCGCCCGCACTTTTAAAATTCAATATTTTGGAAACTAATTGATGTATCGAAATAATTCTTTCACGTGTATTTTTTATTTTTAACAGAGAATACAGAAAGCTAAAAAACAAAATTAGTGAACATTCTTCATTACAAGTTTACAGGAGAGTAAAAAATCTGCGTAGTTACTTACGGGAAAAAAAATTTTTAAGACACCAAAATGTTTTTAACTAAAGTTTCCTAAGCAGTTTCTTCTTTTTAATATAAATATAAAAGTGTAAATAATTTATATTTTGTTAGATTTTTTTCGAATTTTTTGACATTGAACAAATTGCAATATGAACGACGACATTTGGAAGTCAAATGTGACCGCGGCATTTGTCAACTACTGATACAGTCAGTAGCCAAAAAGTTCGCAACACATCTTTGTGTGTGGAAAAAGGTTGTGTTGTCAACTTTTTGGCCACTTTGAATATTGTCTGGGTTCAGTGGATGGACTTATTTACATAGAAACATTCCTATTATTTTTCGTGTGTTTAAGATGTAAATAAAACTTTTACTTAGACTAAACAGATCAATCTCACATTAAATTGTTGTATTTTAGTGTGTTTCATTTTTATGTGTCTTAAAAGTGTGTGTTAAATTCGTATTTGTGACTATATTAATCGATTGATATTTTAAATTTCTAAATGTATTTATTTTAATAACATACATGGTATCGCATTTTTATTGTTCTCTTTACCTACATTTACTTGCATAGATGTGAATACATTTACATCACAATCTAGTTCTATGCCTTTAACCCATCCAACCCTAAGCGTTCGCTTATGACCGCGTAACAATTGATTTCTATTGTCTCGATTCGCGGGATTCTACATTCGTCATCTTTTATGCAATATTACAGTGACCATTTACCAGACAAGCAGAGGCAACTGGGCCTTATACGCCGGGGGGTACAGGTACAACAAGCAGTCCATGGTCGGGGACAAGATACGGTGGCAATGTTCCAAGAAGACCAGGACCAGGTGCAGGGCGTTCGTCACAACCATCGACGGCGTAGTGGTCAAGAATAACATGGAGCACACCCATGAATGAAGAAATTGCAATGGTGTAAAAATTAATTATAGGTACACAGAAAATGTGTTCGTTACATTCCTCTGTCACAAACTCACAACAAGGCTTGTTCTAAAGGTCCAAGACTCTATTGTTCTTCGTTTCTCACCGGGTCCATGACATTTTAATACATACTAAGAAAATCCTTTTTTGTTTTTAACTCCTGGAACTCGTGGACCCTTTGGGAATCAAAGTATGAACTTACATTTTTTTAAATCAATAGAGCTGTGGACCTTAGGGAAAAAGCCAGAACTATAAGGGCTAATCCTTAAATTTGTGTCCATATTTTTGAGCATCGCAAAAAAGGCACGCATTCGCTCAAAAATATGGAAAGGGCTGATATATTGGGCACAATATTTTTGAAATCCAAGACTTTCAACTTATCCTTATTTTATTTATTTATTTGAACACCAACAAGGTTACATTGAGGCTTTTTGGATTTTATCGCGTTTAAATAAAAACTTGTTAAGACTTATTAGAATTGTAGAGCGTCCATTAACAGGTGCTTGGATTATTTAAAATTAAAAAATAATCAATTTATTAAAATAAAGACAACATGTAGATTTGTAAGAATTAATAAATGCATCAAATATTGGTGGTGATCTATGGTATAGTTTATTATATTCAATAATAACAAGTTCATGTAAATTTTATCCTAATTTTGCAAGAAAACGTATTTTTATACACGTCTGATCATATTGTATTTTAAAATCAATTAAATGAAGTTGTCTAAATATTACTTTTATTATTTCTTTTTAAAGCCAGCTTTACTGTGTATGGTATCAATCATGTAAGTATTATCTGTTTGATTACAACTGACAATAATGTTATGTTCATTTAGATCAAGACTCAAGGTACTAAGCGTTTTCCCAATGTAATAAGTTTAAAGATCAACCGAAAAATTAATTGAGCAATTCGGTGCATAATCATAGTCATAATGTTCAAAAGCAAGCTAATAAGAACTGATTATAATCATACTTTATCTTCCAGTAACTAAAGTGTTTACCAGTAGAGGAACAGAGATGCTGATAGAGAGAGGGTACAGGTTCTCGAAGGCCTACACGCACGGGTTGAAGACGAGGTGGCAGTGCACCACCAGAACTCGGACTCGATGCAGAGCGTTCCTGTTGACCACGCATGGCATCATCACCAAAAGCTACTTCGAGCATAATCATGACTGATTCAGCAGGGCGGCACACCTTACCGCGTTCGCCCGTACCAAAGTCGAAGTGACTAGGGTTGCCAGGTCCAAAAACACAAAAGCCGGATGCTCAATTTAGCCTGCCAATTTTAAAATTGAGACTTCAGCTATCATCTTCTGTTAATGTATTGATTTCAACATAAATTATTATTTTAATAAAACATACTTTAAAAGTAATACAATAAAATATTTTGTTTCTTTTAGCCATCTTCAGTGTAGTCGGCTAGCTTGTTAGTGTGGATATGCTTATTAACGTTTCTGAAGGTTTCATTATTAACAGGATTCTAATTTCAGTGGAAGAGTTTCCGATATTTGAAACGACTAAGAAAGGTAATCCTGTGATCCAGCTGGGCAGGTACCGCTTTAACCGCGTGAACCGCGGCAAGGGGCCGAAGGTGCGGTGGACCTGCATCAAGACGCCCTGCGGCTGTCGTGCCTCCATCACCACTCTTGATGACATCATAATCAAAACTCAAAATGATCATAACCATTAAGTTTCATTATTTATGTGATATAGCTGTAGGCAACTTTTTTATACTAGACTGCACTATTAACTACTTACAATAAAATATGTTTGTTGTAAGACAGCTGTACTTAAATAATAATAATTAAACTTACTCGTATACTTACTCGTAGGTAAATCTTTACAAGTTATTATGTAGGACTTCCATAATTTAGTATTTCGTTTGTGTATTTAAGTAAAGATTTTACCAATTTTACACAGCACCAATAGTTTTGAATTCCTTCTTTTCTTCCCTCTCTGTATTCAATCCTTACGTAGTTTAATAACATTCGCAATTATTTTAAACCACTTGCCTTTTTCCCGTATTAAGATCAGGTCTGCTTCCAACAGTGTCAGCAGTGTTCACCAAGTCGCGTTACGGCAACCCTGTGATAGAGTTGGGTCCTTACCGGTTCACGCGCCTCAAAGTCAGCAAGGACGGGCGGCGTATGCGCTGGGGGTGCAGCAAGACCAGCGTCGGCTGCCGCGCCGCCATCATCACGCTCGATGACGTCATCGTGCGCACCACCAACGAGCACCGGCATTAGTCCTGGTCAATGACCCCGGCTCACGCGCCTCAAAGTCAGCAAGGACGGGCGGCGTATGTGCAGGATTCAGCAAGACCAGCGTCGGCTGCTGCACCGCCCGCCATCATCAAGCTCGATGACGTCATCGTGCGCACCACCAACGAGCACTGGCACTAGTCCCGGGTCAATGACCCCGGCTCACGCGCTTTAAAGTCAGCAAGGACGGGCGGCGTATGCGCTGGGGGTGCAGCAAGACCAGCATCGGCTGCCGCGCCGCCATCATCACGCTCGATGACGTCATCGTGCGCACCACCAACGAGCACCGGCACTAGTCCCGGGCCAATGACCCCGGCTCACGCGCCTCAAAGTCAGCAAGGACGGGCGGCGTATGCGCAGGATTCAGCAAGACCAGCGTCGGCTGCTGCACCGCCCGCCATCATCAAGCTCGATGACGTCATCGTGCGCAACACCAACGTGCACGATCACGCATAATGCATTCTACACATCAAACCCCCCTTACCCGTCGACATGACTCGTCGACTTTTGACATGTCAAAAGACCTACAAAGACGAGTCGGCGCGGCGACATATTTCTTTTGTAATAAAGCCGTTGACATACACTTAGCTTTCCTTAGTACTAGTTCTTTGTAACTGTGTACTAGGGATGTAGCAAGTGCGCAAGAGGCTGTCATCTGACAATGGCCTTAAAGGCCCGAAACATCTGATATCATAAGATTCTTATGAACGTGTCACATTTTTACATGAAGCTTGAATGACAATGCCCCATCTTTAAGTCCACAACTTTTCATTATTTAAGTATTGCCATATGTAAGTGCATATTCAAGTTTGAGAACGTTTAATAGCTAGCTTCCAACGACTTTCTTAAATTCCTTAAGTGCCTTAATTATAATAGTTTATATCAGTATTAATAAAATGCAAACGGTATTTCATTCCTTCATAGATTAAGTTAGTATTCTTTACTCTTAAAGATGACGTCTTTTTTAGTTTTATTCTGTTAAAATTTTTCTTTTTATCTTGTAGAATAAGATTAGAATTGTATTATTTTTTGTGTTATTTTAACAAATCCAAGTTCCTATCCTTCCTCCTTACGAGTGTGTATATTTGCCAAAGTTTGTTGTATTTGAAAGAGTATAAGTATTATTGAATAATAATAAACGAATTGTTTATTGAAACTTTGAGATTTGGACTTACTAAACAAATGCATGGACGCCAGTACACCAAGCTGCAGTGTGATGTACTGTCGACTGTACAGATCATTATATTTTGAACCGTAACACCTTGTTTTTGTGGTAGTTCTGAAATTCTAGTTTAGATGTAGATACTATAGTTGCATCAGTCGCATGATTCGGCCTTTTCATTATAGCATGTAAATAGTGACTTTTATTCTCTTCACTTTTAACATCATTGTTGTAATGTTTTAAATAAATAATAATAAATAAATTTTAGTCGGAATTGTTCTAGTACAAATTACAGATGTGTAATTTCTAATAAATTATTGTTAATTACATGTAATATAAAAGGCAGTAAGTCGTTTACATTTTCGGTGCTGGGATTATGCGGTGATATTTTTTTCTTTCTATACTTCTGCTAGAAAATGATTTCTTGATTTAACAGGTCCAGTATTTGGGACATCCAGATTTGGGAAGCCGATTATCGTGGTGGGAAAAAATAGGTTTTGGTTTGCGAATTCAACTCGTGTCGGGATTCGGTGGACCTGTAGTGTTAGGTCCTGCAAGGCTGCGTTGATCACCGAAAACGACATTATTGTGAGGACACAAGGGGAGCACAACCACGACGCGTGATCCTTTAAAACGCCGAAACTTGTCTACTTGTGTTACTGGCTGCAATTTTTTTTTTCTTTAGCTCGCTTACGTATGTTACGTATTAAATAGTTTTTTTCCCAAATTGTCGCGCACAGGCTTAACGTACAGCTACAAAACACCGCGCCGCCCCATCCACTGGCATGTTTTTACATAAATTTTCGTATGGAGGCGTTTTGTGGATGTGGCGTGAAACCCGTGTGCGGCGACCCTAACTTTTTGTGCTCAACTTCGCTAATCGATCTTACCAATTTTACTATTTAGTAAGTAGGAACGATAGAGTTTTTATAGGTTTACTAAAATTTTCACTAAGTCTGTACCTACTACGTGCAGGGTTATTTTCTCCATTGGTTTTTAAAACGTTTGGAGAATTAAAAAATGCTAAGCTAAAGTTACCAATAGTTTAAGATAAGCATACCTACCTACATACATTTGATGTATGTAAAAATATCTATTTTTTCAAAGCTTTTTCAAATTACATCTACTACGAGTAGATGCCCAATATACACAGTGTTAAGATATGAATGATATGACATTCTATTTTTGTATGTTACGTTTTTATTTTTTTTTAAGCCTGAGGTTTTAAGTCTAAAATAAGATTTCGTTGTGGTTATTTGCGTAAGAAAAAATTTATGTTTCGTTTTTAGTCGATTATTATAGCTCTAGGTTTATTTCTTATATTCACGAAAACTAAAACAGTTTAATAACACCGTTTTAGCTATTCTATATTTTTGTTTATTTTTATTGTCAGAAAGCGTTTAATTAGGTAAAACTGTGTTGTTATTACTGTTTTAATTTTTTATCAATAAGACGGTTAAAATACCTAGTAAGTTTTATTAATAATGTTCCTGATTATAGTGTGACGTTTATTGAAGTTTATACGTCAGCTACAGAATACATAAATCCGTTATCCTGAGTTACCAAAATGTGTGATAATATTATTATAAATCTGTTTTCAATATTTGAATTAAAATTGTTTTCCTAAGTATCTTTCTGAGGCAAATAGGTTGTGAAGAAGCTAACATTATAATATCTTTGTGATATATTTTTAGACTAACTTTTTCTTAACAAACTAAGGCTATAATTACTCGGGACCAAAATGCCTAAATAAAATAATTAATATTTTTCTAAATGTTAGAATACATACCTATCTAATGTGAGAATTCTTGAATAAATTTTTGATTTACATTGTGTCTTTTATTTTGTCATAATAAAGATTAAATTAAGATTTTATTTCTACAACTTTGTTTTAGTTTTACACGTCCCAGTATCTGTCTGTGATGGATAGATTATATTATTATGATCTTCATTGGTTGGGTTTTAATATTTGTAGTAAAGTCGTAGTTCCTGGTTACACAGACGTTGCAGTAGACTAAACAAGAGACGAGCCCAAAATAGTCCATTGATAAAATTGCTTATTTTCAGTTAGTTTCAGCGAGACTCGTACCGGTGGTAGGGCCCTGCGGGTAGGCGGCTACAAGTTCTACACCTACCTCGTCGGAGAACATAAGACTCTGTGGCGTTGCGCCGAGCACAAGAAGAAGTGCCGCTCGCAGATCACCACAGTTGATGACAACATTGTCAGAGTGAGCAGTGACCATAACCATTGAATTCACAGTACTCGTAGTCTAGTCTCTAGTCTAGTTTAAGGCATCAATCAACACTGTGTAAGATTTCAAATAAAAAATATCCTTATTTGTTTACACTACTTAAATTAAATACACTCGCGAGCAAAACTATGGAATCACTTACATGAAGTTGTTTCCACGCGATCTTGTGTACTAACGAATTTTTTAGTAACAAAAAAAGTAGCACCATTTTAAAGATTAAACTTTTAGCTTTAAATTGATACCAAATTAATTTAAATCACACCAGTATTTAAAAAGATATCCCGGCTGATGTGAAGAAGTAAGGAAAACGACATGTATCAACTGTTTGATACGTCGCGAGCTGTGGCCTATTTACCCCCTATAAAAGCACGTGTTTTCGGATTTTTGCTTTCACACGTTGATTCATACACATCTCCGCTTCTTTTGACACTTTACCTGGGATTCTACACCTACAGAAGCAGCACAAATCGTTGCACTATTGCAAGAAGAGCTCAGCCAGCGGGCTGTCGCACGTCAGCTCCACATAAGCCAGTCCTGGGTTTCGAAAGTTTTAAGACGCATTTGGGAGACTGGTGGCTGTATCCAGAGACCAAGTTCTGAACATTGCCGGTGCACATCGCAGAGGGATGACCGTTTTGTCATGTGAACCTCTCTATAAAATCGTCATTTGCCTGGTATCGACGTCCAGCAAGAGCTCAGAAATGTTCGTAGAATAACTGTTAGCGAGTGGACAGTTCGTCTAAGATATAAGCAATAGAATTTGACTTCAAAAAGGCCTGCCACAGGCTCGAAACTGACGGCAAGTCACCGATAAGCACGCTTTCAATTTGCTCGTACACATCTCGATGGGAAGTCGAGCAAGCCACCCCCATAAGCCACTGTTTCAGCGAACCAGCACTGCACAAATCGCTCCCCAGGCCGCCTATAGACCCGACCTCTTCGACTGCTGCATTGCAAACACAGTCTGCATTCATCGGAGAACAAAACTCGCCTCCATTACTCGCCTTCCCATCAAAATAAGTGCGAGCTAATTAAAAGCGTGCTTGTCGGTGACTTGCCGTCAGTTTCGAGCCTGTAACAGGCCTTTTTGGAGTCAAATTCTATTGCTTATATCTTAGACGAACTGTCCACTCGCTAACAGCTATCCTACGAACATTTCTGAGCTCTTGCTGGACGTCGATACCAGGCAAATGACGATTTTATAGAGAGGTTCACATGAAAAAACGGTCATCCCTCTGCGATGTGCACCGGCAATGTTCAGAACTTGGTCTCGGGATACAGCCACCAGTCTCCCGAATGCGTCTTAAAACTTTCGAAACCCAGGTCTGGCTTATGTGGAGCTGACGTGCGACAGCCCGCTGGCTGAGCTCTTCTTGCAATAGTGCAACGATTTGTGCTGCTTCTGTAGGTGTAGAATCCCAGGTAAAGTGTCAAAAGAAGCGGAGATGTGTATGAATCAACGTGTGAAAGCAAAAATCCGAAAATACGTGCTTTTATAGGGGGTAAATAAGCCGCAACTCGCGACGTATCAAACAGTTAATAATGTCTTTTTCCTTACTTCTTCACTTCAAACGGGATATCTTTTTAAATACTG